CCCTTAATAGAATTTTGATTCGATGATTTTTGCAAACGTTATTGCCTTTTGTTCATTTCAGTATTTGATTTTTTGTCCGAAGATTTTCTCCTACAATTTTTTATAGCATATCAGCTAACCACTCTTAAAATGATGCAGATCTTATTTCAATGTAAGAAAGTACATAACACTGTATGGCATTCGACGGGCGTATTTTGTTCCGCCCCGCGGTACTCTTGTTGAACTTTAAATAAACCACATGAAATAAGATTTAAACGTGCAGGAAATGGTTAAGGTTAGAATTTGAAAAACTAGTAAAACAACAGTAGTAATTTAGAATGTATAACTACAAAAGTCTTTAGAACAGCCCAAAATAGACGAATCTTCATCAAATAGAATGACAATAACAGTTTATTTGTGTGAAAACCTGAATTGTGATTTTATGTTCCCAGTATTATAGCCCAGTGGGGATAATTTAGACGGGGAAAAGAACAGTGAACGGCCTTTGAACCAAGGATATACTGTTTTCTCCTTCCTCTAATTATAATAGAACATTACTTTGTCAAAACCAATTTTATCTCTGTACATCTTTGATGCATGCAGTGCATCATGACTGTATTAAAACAGTTGTAGAAAGATCTACATGAAAACCCTACACCTCAACAAAAGCTAGTTTGAATGCAGATGTTTTCCATGACGAGATAAAACCTTTAAACACAAAACTCACAAAGTGTTTTCCCTAATTCACAGCTACGTTGATGTACGACTAGTTTTTGCATGTATTTCTCACTAACGTTTTGTACATAAATTGTTTAAATCACAAGTAGAAACATATGTTGTTTATTGAATCAGCATCATATACAGTTGTGTACATGTTGTGTATATTATGTTTACATATACATTCATGCCTGAATATCATACAGAAATATGTTGACACACAGTTGACCTATCTGTATGTTAACATATTGTTGGGTATTTTTTTTTCATGACATTGTTTTTGTATCTATGGTTATCATACTTGTAACACTGTAACGCTTTAGTCATTAGGCCAAGTGTTTACCTTATCCTAAAATAACAGTACATGCCATGTGCTTTTATGTATGGAGTGTAAGTCTTGATTTAGAAAACAGCTTGCAAATCCTTAAGAATTATACCTGTGGTTGTGTCTGAGTTATCTCCCATTAATACCTGTTAAATTATACCTAGCATTTGTCTAAGTTGTCTCCCTTATACCACTTGTTATACCTGTATGTTACCCTGTTGCCTTTGTATGCAACTTTTCCTACAGTACCTGATGAAATCTTTCCGTTGACCATCATGCAGCCAAGTTGCTCATGTTGCTTGTTTAATTCCAGATAGGTTACTTGATGTATTTCACCTAATTCACAGCTGAACACAATATTGTGGGTTAAACTCATTCACCCCTGAAATTTCATAATAAACTATACCAACCTTTGATTTGGAAGAGTTCAAATGTGTCTTCAGGGGTGAATGAGTTAACTGGACCTTTCCTTATGGATATTTTTAAACCATGTACACTTTTTATTTAAATACTATATTTGTCAGTTTAATGGGATTCACATTGATGGGGACACTTTTGTACCTTAAATCACTACAGAATCAAATCTTCTTTCAATTTAAATAAGGTCTTGTATTGTCACTGTGTCTGTTGTGTAAAGAGGATGATATCCTAGTGAGATAATGCTGTTTTTGTTGATCATCGTTCATCATGGTGCCACTCTTCCTTTTGTGTTGCCTATCCCAGACCTTCGCTGATGTTGGATCTAATGATCATTTTAGAATCCTTGCATAGACGTCATGTAAATACCACCCTTTTATTTATTCAATAATGTGCACATTGCTTGCTTAAATGTATAAAAGTGATTGTAAGCCTTTTTTTCACAATTATAACCATTACTATTATCAATATGTTGTAAAGCGCTTTAGATTAATTTTACTAAGAATATAGGGCGCTATATAAATGTTGTATATTATTATTATTAATGTCCTGGGTGGCAAGCAAAATGCTTTATTGTACTGCCTCTAGTTTCTGAATGTTAAACTGCTAATATTCAACACTGCAATTCAGTTCTCAGGGTCGGGCTGGAAAATTATAACTTCCTTTGATGCATGTTATCCATGTAATTAATTTAAACATCCCTAGGAGTTTGTTTGCCTTGATTGAGATGTTATCTATGTGGATTTTCTTTTGAACCTGATGGTATATCCTAAACATGGTTTTATTTGATTTTCTCAATGTTTGACCTCCTATGGTAATAGTCTGGTTCAGCCCTTATTTGGTTGTTATAGTGATATATATTGATATGTCACCTATTCACACCCATAATTCTCCAACTACCAGTCATGTGTCATCTGTCGGTAATATTAAAGAGTGATATGATCTATGTTAGTTATTCACATTAAGAAATTTGCCTCAATTTAGGGGCGAGTCAAAAGAACTTTAATCAAACTAAAGAGACAGTATAAATATGTTTAAGTTGAGGCTCTGCTGAGGGCTAAATATTTCAGAATCTTATAACTTGACTTTTTCTATCTTAGCCGCAATGTTCGAATCATATTTTTCTCCTACCCATGAAAAATTCTTTGATATATTACGCATAAAATAATGTTTTCAATATTATCTTAAACAAGCTAGTTATTTCAGAATCTTATAACTTGACTTTTTGTATCTTTGCTTCAATGTTCGAAACAGATTTTTCTTCTATCCATACAATTTGTTTTTATGATAAATTGCGGATGAAATAATGTTTTCAATGTCAACTTAAACTAGTTACATAACAGAGAATCATATAATTGTAAAAAGATAACTTCACTAAATATTCATTGTCACTTTACCATTTGGAGCAATTTTGCTCCAGTGCTTGTATTTTGTCAACACCCTAGATTTTTGACAGTATGATTCCGTATAAGGAATACGACATCAATTTGTCTGGGTTGGAAATGAGAAGACGTTGGCAATTAGATGCGCTTAGTTCCAATTGTTGTAAAATGATGACATTGATGACTAGAATCACTCCTATGGAAGGTCTATCATTACTTCGACTTTGTGATGCTGCAGAAGTCAGACTGGGAAATATTTGTTTGTGTGGACATGGTCAAAGACTTGAACTTAATCCAGGACCAGAAAACTCTGTGCTACACTCATCAAAATATTAAAAAATATGTCATCTTAATACACGTAGTATTATTGGTAAGGTTGATCAATTGTCCTTGGAACTACAAGATTATGATATAGTAACTTTAAGTGAAACTTGGTTAGATCCGTCCATTGACAACACTATATTAAATATAAAAGGTTTCCAAACACCTACTAGACTGGACAGAAATCGACATGGCGGTGGGGTAATAGTGTATGTGAAAACCCATATAGCATAAACAGTTACAACTGACCTTCAAATTAACAATTTGGAAGCAATCTGGATTGAAATCAACCATATCAAAGGTCCTCTACTTGTTGGTACCTTCTATATACACCCAAGATTTGATAACTGGAACTTGGATGGATATTCTATTGAACAAGCATTAAGTGTTAATAATAAAATTATCATTCTTGGAGATTTTAATGAAGACATTTTGATACCCAACAAGTCGAAAAACATTAAAAATATTTTAAACAATTTTAATCTTTCACAAATTATATGTGAACAGACTCGTATTACAGAAACCAGCACTAGAAGTCTGATTGATGTAATAATGATCAGCAATCAAACCCAAGTTTTATCTTCAGGAGTCCTTGATCCCATTTGTAGTGACCACAGTCCAGTCTTTGTCACCTTAACACAATTTGAATATCCTTGCCATACATATAAACGTAGGGTCTGGAAATATGATAAAGGCAGCTATATAAATAACAGACAGGCTATTATTGACAGTGATTGGAACATGAACAATCTATCTGTAGGTGAGCAAGTTAAAAAACTTACTAGAAATATCATATGCGCTGCCGAATCACATATTCCAAATAAGACTGTAACTATACGTTCCAGCGATAAACCCTGGGTGCATAACGAAAATCGAAAACAAATAAGTAGACCTGTTATAAGGCCAGGTCTACGAATTCCCTTCTGTGTGTGAACAATGTCAATTCAGTGGTGTTAGCTGAGTGTCACAGAATAGTTTACGTCTGAAGCTGTGCTGGACTGTTGTAATGATGTTGTGTATCACTTTGTGTCATGATGTTCATGACCACTTTATGCTCGGTATGCGCTACGGTTTGAAAGGGGATGAAAATAAGTAATAATTTTAATTACTTCTGGTATTCATAAGTGAGGGTTAACGTGCGATCGGTACAACATAGCCTAGGAGATCTTAGATAAAAACTGGAATCAGTTTAGAGGAACTGTGTGTGAAACGTCTTACTTTATAAACACAGTAGCATCAGGTATGGCTTTTGGGAACAGCACACTTTAAGTTTGATACAGAGGAAGAGGTAAAACATTAAGGCCCAAATAAGGGACGCAGCACAATGAGAAAATAATCAGGCCTCGAAACGGTGTTCGCAATAAATGCAAGCAGGACAGGGGCACTACATCAACAATCTGACCAACCGCAAGGTGATACTTCAAAAGGATTGGGACTTAATGCAGACTAAACGGACACAACCATCATATCTGCTATCCAAGCAGTTTGTAAATCTCTGTTTTCACAAAGGAGAATTAACAGGAATGGGCCTTCAGTACACTCTCTTTCTCCGTCATCACACGAAGAGTACAGAAAGTGATTAGCAATATTCAAAACCGAAATTGTCATGCAGTGGACATTTTCTATTATTTCGTGCTTTCTAAGTTAGCATAATGTATAATAGTTGCATATTAAAAACTCCAAGAAGTTTTTTTTTATATGTTTACACATCAAATTTGAAGAAATTATTATCAAGGTATATGGTATAACACACTTAGCTACGAGTATCATCAGTGTCAATGTGCTAATACTTGGAAAAGTTTAATACTCGTGTAAATTGTATACATCATATGATGCAAAAATGTGCATAGGTAAAACAATAAAACAAATTCAAACAATGTTTTTAGTCTTTTATATAATATATAAAAGCAATTACGTCAATGATTGTGATTATAATATAGTTCTTCTATATGGTGGAACATACATGTATTTATGCTACGGAGGCAAACTACTGTTTGTAACGTATTGATGTTTTCTTCTAACACGATCAGAGATATTGAGAAAAATGTAAAAGAATCTTTGATTAATACGAAATCACTTTGTAGTATTATTCACCACGTCTGTTATTACATGTATTATATTAACATCTGTTCTGTTATTTGCTGATTAATACATATACAAAACACCAAACGTATTGGCAAAAAGTGTTAGCTAATTGTCAATTATGACCTTTGAGTTTTCTAGTCTAACTATATGTATAAGATATTGTTACACGATAGACAATATGTTCCTCTATAGGAAAAAATAGCAAATACTTATGTCGCTTGTATAGACATGTGTCACAATAAACCGTCACCAGATATTGAATATCTCGATAAACACATAAAATATTTCAAAGTTATGGTCACATGAGTTCATATCAAAGAGTAAAATAGCAAAAGTAAAACAAATATTAGACAGGGGTAATTGAATCAATTGACAATTATACATGGGTTGACCAAGCCTTGCAAATGCTATGAAATTGATGAAAGTGTCCTAAAAGCACCTTTTAACTAAAATGCATTAAAGGGGTCAAAATGAGCCTTGAAATGGATTATGATATAAAACAATTATTGTATATTGATTTTGGTGGTTTTGTGATGCAATTCTGATAGAAATGAATTAAGAAAATACAAGTAAGTAAAATCATGTTGACTTCTAGATTTTCGGACTTACGACCAGTGTGAGATTTTTTTTATATTTATATGATGAGTTTAGATTAATCTGGAATACACATACAGGTCTCTGTATTTTGAGAATGTGAAAATGGTGTGAATTGTTACGCCTTAATTTTACTTTAAAAGGCCCTAAAGACCTTAAATTTCATAGTGAAATTCCTGTATGAACTCCATTTTTGAAGAACAAGGACTGCAGGTACCTACTGTCAAACCTTGTACAGTTACAGAACTGTTAAGTCCATAGTGTAAATGTTGGTAGTTATAGGAGAACTAGGATTGATAGTCAATAGACATTTACAGGATATATAGGTACAAACTGTAAATATATATGCATTTATGGGAGACCTTGGAGTATAGGTCAATAGACATTTATAAGACAGGGAGGTACAAACTGTTCATTTATAGACATTAATGGGAGAACTAGGGTTGTAGGTCAATTGACATGTATAGGTCAGGGAGGTACACATAATAAATATATAGACATTAATGAAAGAACTAGGGTTGTAGGTCAGTAGACATTTATAGGACAGGGAGGTACAAAAAATAATAATATGGACATTAATGAGAGAACTAGGGTTGTAGGTCAGGAGACATTTATAGGTCAGGGAGGTACAAATGATAAATATATAGACATTAATGAGAGAACTAGGGTTGTAGGTCAGTAGACATTTATAGGACAGGGAGGTACAAATGATAAATATATAGACATTAATGAGAGACCTAGGGTTGTAGGTCAGTAGACATTTATAGGACAGGGAGGTACAAAAAATAAATATATGGACATTAATGAGAGAAATAGGGTTGTAGGTCAGTAGACATTTATAGGACAGGGAGGTACAAACTATAAATATATGGACATTAATGAGAGAACTAAGGTTGTAGGTCAGTAGACATGTATAGGACAGAGAGGTACAAAAAATAAAAATATGGACATTAATGAGAGAACTAGGGTTGTAGGTCAGGAGACATTTATAGGACAGGGAGGTACAAAAAATAAAAATATGGACATTAATGAGAGAACTAGGGTTGTAGGTCAGTAGACATTTATAGGACAGGGAGGTACAAATAATAAATATATAGACATTAATGAGAGAACTAGGGTTGTAGGTCAGTAGGCATGTCTGTTAATCTATGGACATTAATTGAGAATCGGGACTGCACGGTATTACTATAACTCATCAGTAAGATTTAGTAGATGGACTTTTTGCGTTTTTGGCGAAGAAACTTGACCTTGCCGTGAAGTTAATTATCTTGTGTAAATTTATTCAGATGAATCGTTTATCAAATACAATAAATAATAAAGCAAATAGTTGCAAAATTCAATGATTTACAAGTAACAGATTTCATACTATATATATGTAACGAGGTTTACCCTTCTGTGGTTAATATGTGGTGATACAAATTTAATGTTTCCATTTAACATTTCAATAGTGAAAAACATTAAAAAAAATAATTGGTTATTGGTATAGAGGCAATATCTAAATATCTCAATACAACAGTTTAACACGCATGATCGTCATACACCCAAACATGAACCTACTATATATGTAATATACTGCACATGTATTGTGATTTACAGTCCGTGCTGTTACACACGTATACGGCATGATACAATGTCAAAACAGTTTTACTTTACTTTCATTTTCACGTAAGCAAGAAGTTCAGCACTACATTTGCATTGCTGAAGAGTCTGTAAGAATTCGCCTGGTAGTCTGTCTCCGAGTCTGATGGCGTAGTCGGACAGTCGGTATTTATCCAGCATCTTCCCCTTCGCGTCTTGTTCACTCAGCTTCATGTTCCTGATATAGTCGACCTGCGCCTCGGGTAGCTTGAGAGCAATCGCCAAGTCCTTCCATTCCGGTCCAAGCATCTTCGACATACTTAGGAGTGACACCTCAGAAAATACACCTACACAGATGTAAATAAACAATCCATAGAATGTAACAGTGGTAGATGTACGTATATACATGTGCTATAAAGTTTTATCGGAGTAGTCTCCCGTGTCACGTGTTATATACATGGTATAATTTATATTATAACCATCAATAAAATACCCGGAATTTGCCGTTTTGTGTATTATGGTATTCCGTCTCCGTATCTTGTTTCTATGTTTTGTTGTTTGACTTCCTGTTTCCGGGAATAAAATGAAAAGTTGAAGAGTGAAGCTGTCTCGATTTATCTCTAAATAATCCTCTCACATCGCAAACCTAGTACACACGTAATGAAACAAGATTTTGACATTGAAAACCATTGATCGAAATATACAAAAAAACTAAATGATAAAAAGAAAGATATCAATTGAAAAATAACAACCATACAGAATACTGGTATGCTTACAACAAATTGATTTACCCACCTGTATCCATGTACAGCGTCACCAACTGACGAGCTTCTTTACACCAAGGATATTGTCTGACAGCATGTAGCATTTTCTCAAGCTGAAACAAGAGGGACATAATATATATTTGTAGATATATATCTTAAAATCAGGATGAAAAAAATGCTGACTTCCCAGGAATCCATTCAGCAACTTAGAAAATAAATGTATGTCATTAAATTTTAACAACACAGGGTGATACGGTAGACGATATACACATCATAGGTTTGCAGAGACATGAAGATTAAACCATAGAAGAAACAATTTGATCTCTTCAAGCAGTCTGGAAGGAAGAATCTTAGTCGCCTTTTTCAATTATGCAGTGGGATATAGCAGGCCCGGTTCTTAAGGGTGAACCTATAATCTACCATTGAATTTTGCTCTATGCCATTTTTGGTATTATTATCAAAACAATAAATACATATACCTTCTTCTGCTTTTCATCCTGGTTCTGGTTTGCCCATATGTATAATGTTGTCGCGAATCTGACACTGTCCGTGTCATTCTTGCATTGTTTCTCCACGCGCGTCTCTATTTCTTTCACTTCATTTGGTGTATCCATCTGAGTAAATATGCTATGCATTTCCTGTCTGTTGGTCGTCTTTGAACCGATGAATTTCGTGAGTGCTTGGACTAAATGAGACGTTTGTATTATGAAGATAGGGTCAATGCAAAGATAAGGTTTTGTTTTGTTATATAGATATAGCTACATGCGAATTACGGAATTATTAGATAACCATATGATGAGTTTAATAAAAACCTGTTCACTTCGACATACATGATTGATAATACCTCTACATATTATCGTCATACACACATGGTTGATAATCATTTTTTATGTTATTGACGTAATACATAGTTGATCATTGTGTCTAGTCTTTTGGTATCCCCTCAAGATGTGTATTTTTTCGAAATTTACAATATTTGCATATTTTATTTTTTGTGTTTGTGATCAGAATTGTCAATCATTTTTATAAGTCGCATGTACTATCATATGTTATAATAAGACAAATGAAAATAATTCTAACACGTTTTAATCTAATCAATTATGTCATACTTACTGTCCCCATTCACTGACAGGTGCGACAGGTACCGCTGTGTCGGCTGTAATTAAGAGGTAAATATCTGAGTAATACTTAATTTATTGATGAAAATCTTAAAAGAAGCCACCAAACTCATGACTTAACCGTAGTAAAATCAACACTCAGCTAACAGTAGCAATTATAAAGTTATACTCAGCTAAACGATAACAAACATTACACTCAGCAAAGCGGTAGTAAACAGGGCTTAACAATAGTTGACGTTTATACTTGGCTAAAAGGTACTAGAGGTTAACCCTGAGCTATCCGGTAGTGTAAATTTACGGGCAGTCATATTTCAGACTCATATCTATATATTTACTGATTTGGTGCGCAACACAGAAAATTCGGCGGAGTGATTAACCAGTGAAATGTAATCAGAACGAAATAAAACGATATAATTCCCAAGGAAAGCATGGTCATGAGCAAGGAGCGGGTTTATATATATGTTGGTAATATAGGTAGCTTATTACCCGATAAACATGTATTTAACTTCTCAAATATGGCAAACACAAAGACATCAAATAAATAATAATGAAGCACTTGTGTAAACTTGTACATGCATGTTAAGCGCCTTACCTTCATCCAGACAACTTCCACGGAGTCAGTCCTCTCCTCTAGAGGTTTCCTGGCCTTGACACGGTAATGCAGTAGACCTCGGTAGCAGTCGTCATCCATCTGTTCCGGACATGTCTTGTCTACGACATATATACTACAGTTCACTTTGCAAATGTCCTTTTGGGTTTTGAAGGGGAATTTCACCACCTCTCCTTGCAGAATTCGTCTACCATTGTGTTGAAGACCAATGTTGCCCGACATGTATAAATCGACGATGTCTCCATCCATGACAGTGAAGTCAGCTAGCTCCATTGGACCTCGCGTGTAGCCTTGCTCCTTCAGTCGACTGATTTCCTTTGGTGCTTGCTCCGTTGGAAGTACATGTATGAACGTTTCGGCCTGGTAATCATCTTCTTTCTGTCTGCAGACGAGAGTTACCGTTGTCCCAAACATTCCTTTTCCAAACTCGTCGGCAATTCCTTTAATATCTGTCTCTGACGAGTCACCAGAGACCGTAAGTGACACCAGACTTGAAATGTACAGAACAATGAGATACCTTCTAGCCTCACTTTTACATTCTTATATTTGCACATAGCTAATTAATACGGTATCACACCTCGATATTTATACAGATGAAACAATTGTTATTGATATTAAAAGTATTTTCTAATTTATTACAATGATGTAAAAAAAACCACCGAAGCAAAACCGCAATAACAACTCAAAATTTATAAAACTAGCGAAAACTCCTTAATCGACGACATGCCCCATTTAATCTAGGGCAAATCAAAGATATTTCACATCTTCAACCGAGAACCAAGAACCAGGGTAGTGACAACAAAACAACAAGGTACACTGATGAGCATAACAAATCAACCTTCATATCATGCAAGGAAATAGTATATTTCTCAATGAAATAATTGTGATTACTGTAATCTGTGGAAACCTTGTGTTGCATGTTTTCGGAGCAAACTCTTGAATACTTGTAAACACAGTAGGATAGAGAAGCTTACTCTACAGTTTGATAGTAAACCATCACTGCTTTTCATGTTGCAAGTACAGATCGAGGAATGGGCAGAGTAGAAGAACCAGTGTCCTGGAGTTAATGCTCATAAAGGTGATACGATCGACGTAAATGTCTTGCGATTATAGACAGCATGTTGTCGATAAATCTCAATGTGAAATTGAAGGACCTAGCTTCGTTTATGTTTCCAGTCTCGATAAGTCTCATATGAATACAAAAACAAATTTAAGATTAAAGAGGGGGTTTAGTGTGTTCCCTTAGGAATTCCCTCCGTCTGCTGGAAATCTTGTATAATAGCTTTGATGGACAACTACCAGCATCAATAAGCTGAATGTAAGGATTTTTTATGAAGTCTCAGAATCCAAAACAAACGAGGCAGATCCGTATCCTTATCATTAATGGGTTTAAGACAGTTTATGATGTTATATCTCATTAAGTGAGTAGAATCCCCTTTTTTTTTAAATGTTTAGTTAATTTTAGATGCAAACCAAAAAGGTGTAATACTAATTTTTGAATATCAGTTATATATTTCAGAAGAAAACTAACCAACCATATGACGTGACGTGTTCATTATTTGGATGACTGATGTTAACTTACTCAAAGTGTCTCTTTCCTGCACTCAACGTGCACTCTAAATTCTTATTGAGCTTTGCAGCCAATTTTGGATCCAGGACTTCCCAGTTTCCGCCATCCGCACGGTAAACCATCACTGACTGCCATTGTTCTGCGAATAATGACAACCTAACGGTGTTAAGACAATACTCATTGCTACTCCTTTTACTTTCTTTGTCATGTTACTGTGATTGGTATTACATGACACTTGACCGTTATATAAAGTGTAATGTAAATCATTTGAAAGTAAAGTTGCTAAAGTGAAAAACTGCGCCTACCAATGATTTTAACCTTCACCCATCAAATAGACCTTGTGTCAATGACCCTGCAGAACCCTCTTGCCATTCCTACTGATCTAAACGATTATGAATAAACAGCTGCGATTCTTTTGTGCATAAAAATATATTTGCCGCCTGCTGGAAATAATCATTTCTACACTTAACTTTGACCTTTGACCTTTGACGTTGATTTATTGTCAGGGTTATCTTCTAGTATGGCCAACACCAGTACAAAATGTGAATGAAATAAGATAAAAAAAAGTTTTTGCAATATTGTGTCGTCACGGTTGATAGCCGTACGGACGAATAGACGGACATTCATTTCTATTTTGTTTTTTGTTTTGTTGTCTTTTTGTTTTTGTTTTGTTTAGTCAATACTAAAATTACAACATGCAAAGATATACATAATACGTCTTACAGTATCATTTCCTGCAAATATGTTTATTTGAGGACTCGCACTACCAATTCAGCCAATCAGTAAGTGTTTCATACGATTGTTATTCCAACCTAAAATTAGGTAAGATTAAATACAGTGCCTTTGAGTAATTTAAATATGTAATTGTAGACATAAATTTAACATGTTTTCAACTTTTGAATAATGTGTAATTTTGGTAGATTTCAATATGTGATGACGGATTTATATGGGGCCAGGGGTGTTCCCGTCCCGCTTCACCGGTTTGGCTTGTAAACTTCCGATTGTCAAAAGCAGTAGCCTGTAGCGCTCTCGTATATGCCAATAAACCTGCCACAAAATGCCCTCTGAATCCTTGTCAGGTATGTATCTATGAATCTACACAGATGCCGCGTGTGTTAGACTTAAAATATTAAAGCAAACTATCAGCTAAAAGTTATAACGTATACTAAATGATTTAGTTGTATGAGTCCTTTACTGGGTACGGTATGCAGTTTCACTCCAATAATTCTGTTGTACCGTAATTACGAAAAACATATACTTGTGCAATGAAGTGCTCAACAGAACCTTAATGAAGATTGTATACCAACAGGGAATATACAGCACATATACGATTAGATGATGAGAGCATCTCTTACCCATTACTACCGACTAATTTAGAAATTTTCATGAGAAACAGTAAAAGGTCGAAAGATTTATACAATATGCTTTGTCGAAATAACACTATTCCTACCGGAAAAAGAAAGTGGAACAACATATTTGAAATGGATGAAGAAACTTGGAGAAGTATATATGCAACCCCTTTCCGAGTTACTAAAAGCTCCAAATTACATTGGCTGCAATACAGAATAAACCAACACATATTAACAACAAATTCATATTTATTCAAAATTGGTTTAACTGATAGTCCACTCTGTTTCTTTTGTAAAACAGAAATAGAAACAATTATACATTTAGTTTTGGAGTGCAGAGACGTGCAGGAATGTTTTGAGAACTTTGAATTTGTATTAGGTGCTCTATTGATTCCATTTACTTTTAATAAAGAAACTTTCATTTTTGGCATGCACAATGATAAAAATATATACTACACAACAGACAATCATATATTGATCATTATGAAACAATACATCTATAGAGCAAGATGTTTACAGCAAACTTTATCTGTTTCAGCATTAAAATCTATTATAAAAGATAATTATGTGACTCAAAAATATATTTGCGTTAGCAAGGGTAATGAGAATGTAGCAAAGTTTAATAATATATAGAAAAAATGGAATAAGCTGCTAGAAATAACACCCAACCCCTGACAGGACGAAATTAAGAAATAATCTATGATACTTTTCTAATTGATATTTTCATGAATGTTAATCAATTTGTTGTTAACATAAAACGGCACCGTCTCTCTCTCTCTCTCTCTCTCTCTCTCTCTCTCTCTCTCTCTCTCTCTTTGTGTGTGTGTGTGCGTATGTGCGGCTGTGTGGGTGAGTATGTGCGGCGTTTTGGTTGCGTATGTGTGCGGAATGGTGAAAGAGGATGTATGTCTATATATTTCATTACATTTTTGTTTTTATACAAATATGTATAAATTATCAGCAGTAATATATGTGATTGGATTTGATAATTAATGAGGGTATTATTGATAAAAACTAAGGATGTTGTTGGTGATCATGAAATTTAGGTCAGCAATGATAATGTTGATGATGATTTTATAATTGATGAGGATGATGATGTATTATTGTTGACAAGGATTGATCATAATGATAATGGCGTAGATGAATGAATTATATTTATCATCATGATGATGATAGTTTTAAAATGATAAGGAATGCTTGTTGAAATTTATGATGTAATCATTGCTTGATTGACATGAATGATAATGATAGTAAAAGTTGATGAGGAAACTTGTTGATGATGATGATGATGATAATATTATGATGATGTATGATGATGATGATGATGATGATGATGATGATGATGATGATGATGATGATATGATGATGATATGATGATGATGATGAGTGTTGAAAATTGATTGATGAGTATTATAATGTGATCAATGATTGATATTGATGTGAAAGATGAATGTTATATGACAATGATGATGATGATGATGATGATGATGATGATGATGATAAAGATGACTGATGGCGATGGTTTTATGATGAGAAATATGAATAGATAAATATATATAGATGCTAATGATGAAGATGAAGAATAGATGAAGATGATGTTTATTATGATATTGGAAGTGTATGATGGTGTTGATTGCTTTAATGCTGATGATTTATTTGGAAAAAATAAAACAATTACAAAAAAAAAAGATTGTATACCACTACCTTCTACTACACGGGTTCCACGAATTTCCTTGACCAGTTCACGGATTTCATCCGCTACGCCGTCATTTCCTGACTTGTCAAGGCACATCAGTACTTTTTCAGCAGCAGACGGTTTGTCAAGCAGCAGCTCCAGCAGATGTTTAATCTTTTTGTCTTTCGTCTTTTGATTCTGGAACAAAATTTCATCATATGTGTCATTTTAAAATAAACAACCGAGTGCTCTGTTAAGCTTAACAAATATATAGCTTTAACCAATGCCATAGTGATGGGTAATTGTCGTTGTGTAACATGTACTATAATGTACTGGTATTATAATACTACAAAGATGTTCGTTATGATAAATGTAAGATAATAAAGCTGGAGCAGCTGTTGTGTTAATATATTATAATTATATTATAAATGCATATGTATTTGTTATTTCAAATAAATAGCTGTTATACCATATATGAAATGATAATAAAATAAACAACCATTATGGAAATTGATGCCAATTCAATAAAACAAACAATTTTATTAAGATATTTCGGAATAGCATTAATAGTAATAATTAGCTACAATTTCTATATCGCTGATAGTAACATTAAGTTATAATTATTACAGTAATACCTTGTTATTGTTGGATTCTTTCGTGGTTATCACCCCATCTGTCTGTAAATGTTGAAGAAAGGGATCCAACCGAAAGTTAGAAAGATCTTTGTTCGATGTGAAATACTGGTTGACAGCCGCCCCCATCGCTTTCCGTTCCTTGCAGTGGGATGAAACTTCAATGGAAGTGGATATAACTTTAAATGATGAATATACATCGTTTAAGTGTGGTTCATATCTCACTGACATACCGTATCTATCTTTGTTTTCTTGAGTGTTGTGTTTATTTTACCATGGAAAAACAACTTATCATCAAGTATTGATGCACCTATTAAAAAATTAAATACGCCAATGTAAAAAGCCAAAGTTTAATATACTGCACAGTATGGTTTAATAAGGCAATCGCAATGTAGGGAATATAAAAGGGTGTAGGATAGGGAAATTCCACCCGAGGGGTTTCCCTATCCTACACACTTGGGCATGAAAGAGTATTTTTCTCTCATTCCAACTACCAGAATAAGCTCAGAAACCAGGAAAATGCGTTTGAACTGGCTACCATTTTGAAAATATCAACTTTTCCCCTTAGCTTTTTAGACAAAAACGAATCTGTAAACGAGATTAAGTATACCCAATATTTGCAAACAGAGTCTGCACGGAAAAAATAATCTCATCTTTCTAACGTGTTCGGTAAATACAAATGTATATCGTAATAGGTTTTAATTTCATCACGATGCCTTTTTAGCATTGCGGAATCGGCGTTTTATTGTTACAATCAGTCTCTTTCTTTTCTTTTTTTAATAATAAAAGTTACTTCGTCTGTGTAAAGCTCTGCTCTTTATTTTATTTTTTTCAGATTTTGTTGCAAACCTCTCCGTTTATGTTGTTGTTATGATTTTAACTAACCCCCTAGCTCTATAATGGTCTCTATATTTGTCATGTGTGCCAGAGAGACAAGGACAAACACCGTGGCATTACTTGGTTTAATCTTTGTTTTATTAAAATTTTGTTTGACAATACATCGAAGTACATGTTTATAGAACAGAAAAGGAAACAAAAACAGGTGTCGTGACACTTATGTAAATTTGAGGCATTACTTACGTTGTTCGGGGAATATTTTGACATCGATGTCCTTTGTTGTTGGTTCCATACAGTCCACTTCAATACGCACTTGTGCGCCCAGTAAGTTTTTGACATTCTTTTCCTGGTCATTGTCTGTCCAGGCCTACAATATTTACAAACAAAACGTGTATGTAACAAATCTATTTACCTATACGTTATGTTTAACACACTCAGATCTCGTGCCGACCAGTAACAAATGGAAATATAACCCAATACCTCCAAACAAGGCGAACCGTTAAAACACACACAATAATAAAAACAATAGAAGCTCACAAATATTATTACCACCACCAAATCCATTCCCCTAAATGAAGCTGAACAAGTCCAGGAATTGCAACGAGAATATTTTTCTCAAATGGGACACAATGCTACGTAGAATGTGAAAATAGTATGGAATAATATAAATTAAGAGATAAAAAAACTATTGTGGATGATAATTGTCATAGCAACCTAGTTTGGTTAGTGCACTCTTAGATGGAAATTTATTTTCTCAACATACCTATATCTATCAAATTTCAATATTCGTCAATGAATAAAATATGTGTGGCATTATGTGATACATGACTTCTGATAGCGTTCTTGTTAAAATATTAAAAGACTGAGTAGTAACTTTTTACCATGGATTGTCCATTTTATATCAAGTTTAACTTTAAAAAGAACAAATCAGTTTAACTGTTTATGAAATATTACAATAATTGTAATAGTACGTTTAACCAAACTACTTACTTTTAACATCATTACATACTATACTAGGTCAGTTATTCAATTAAATAACAGTTATGATGCCTCATGAGATTAAAATGTTTTCTTACCCCAAACTTGATCTTGTCCTTTCCGAATTCTGGGGGAATTTGAAAATGCGCGCAATCCTCCTGGAAGGAAATTCCGTTTTTGTCCACTACTATTTCTTTTTTCTTCGGCACAGCAACAACAATGAGTCGGAATGATTTGAAATTCTGAACCGTAGTCCCAATATAATTCACGCCTTCCTAAGAATATTTTAAAAAAACCCACTTAAAGTGCATAAACGAGTGATCATGTGAATGAAAACATAAGGACGTCCCGTTAACATAACAAGTCGCTAACAAACACACACACACATACACACATCCTAAGACGCCCCTCGCCCCTCCCCCTACACACACATGTGCACACACAGCGGAAATTATTTGTCGAATGCATGGAGTGCTCATCAATTAAGGTGAATCATACTAAATATACGAACCGGAAATGCATCTATTTTTCGACTGTTAAGTTTTTCTGGGTACTTCCATGTTCCATTGTCGATTGAGATCTTGATTTCTGGTTCGTATTTATCCTTGCTGATTGAATATGGCACGTACACCTCCATGGGCACCTAGATAATGCAGATGCGAAAGTATGAACATTATTTCCATCAGTTGCAACGCACATAATCACCTATAACACAAGTAAATAATATGTCATTATTTTCACCAGTCGGATGACGTAGTACAGCTACCATCTAGTACAAACAAGTAAATGAGTACTTATGAATGATGGATAATCCTTAAGTCTTACGCTATCGAAAAGTTTTAATGACTGATATGAACGAATGGCATACAGTTTCTTAAATTAATCAGACTATGAACATCTGGACAAAAATCTCTTCCTAAACCACCGTTAATTAAAAAAATCAAATGCCCTACCTTAAGATCGAGAGAGCCATTTCCGTTGTTTTTGACCAACATAGGACACGACGCCTGCTGCTCGTACGGTATGTAAAACCAGTCTGAGGTCAGTCCTTCCATGTTGTCACACTGAAGTGATGAGTGATCAAAACTCCCCTGCATGGCATACACCACACACAGCACGTCAGTGTTAGCAAACATATCTCCCTCAGGTGTGTCAGTCAACCTGTATATAAAATTATAGCAGAATATATAAGAATACGGTCGGGACCAACCAAACTAATCGAGGAATAGGGGGTATTCGAGTTATGCGAGTTTGAGTAACGGTAATATAGCTATCACATATATGATCAGCAACAAGAAATAGAGAGACTATTCCTATAAACAATAATGAACACATACTGATAAGCTTAATAAAAGCTGAACACGCTTCATTTTTATTTCATCATTACTTACACAAGAGGTTTCCAATTTTTTGGATTTCTTCGTCGTTCTTCCTCTTTTTTGCGTTCTTTCTCCTTCCTTTCCCTTCTTTCTCTTTCTTTTTTCTGTTTATCTTCCCTATCTTGACGCTCCTTTTCAGTTTCTAACGTATCATCATAATTTTTCAAGTGACTTTTCAACCGTCTAATGTCCTCTGTGTCTATCCCGTCATGAGATCTTACTTTTTCGCAGGTGTGTTTCATTTCTTCCAGGAACAGTGCTAGCTTTTGCTGTTGTGCAATCAGTTTGGCTTTTTCTTCAGCTTGTCTTGCAATCATTTCATTATCATTCATCCGTGATGATGCATAAAAACTACATATAAAATTTTGAATAAGTCAATTAATTTACATTATATGATAAATCACAAAGGTACACATGAATAAATCAATCAAACTGCTTGTATCTAATGTTGAAATTTTAATGCTTATATGCTCGAGAAGAAGACGTTCGATGTTTAACCTATATGGTATGAAGATTTGTCCATATGATGATTTTTAACAATATGGTTAGCCCTTTTTAGTTTTTGTCACACTAGATTTATGTGACCTTAACTATTGTTCAACATCATTTCTTTAACACAGTCGTTAGCTTTGCTATCAAGTGAGTACGGGATTATGGTGATATCAAGTGAGCCTATGCAAGACGGTGTGATAATGAAATGATTCCTGAGGACAGGCTAAATTGTAAATATAATTGACACCAATGACCTTGTACTAGTTATTCTAATTTATTTATTTTACAACGGTTATAAAACGAGCTCTTTCAACTAATCAGCCCTTTCGGTCCATTTTGAAGCGCGCATCTTGAATCTATCATATTGTTTTATTTATTCATTTTTTTTTAAAATTAGTATTATAACCACTATAAGTTACAGTCTATATATTACGACACCAGCCCATAGCGGGTTCTAAACAAAAAGTCGGATCAGGATTTTAACACACGTGACATTGTGCGAGGGTTATGGTAAATTATTTGATCTTTGGCAAACACTTTGAGCTACAGACTAGAAAGCATTCTTCTAGAGGACCTTGTGAATATAGGTCAATATCATTAATTTACTCAAAACATTAAAAACTATCTACGAAATTAGAAGAAAACGAAACATAAAAAACTAAATTGCTTCGCGGGAAGTCGTTGAAAGATTTTAGTATTTATTTAGATTAATTGTCCCTCTTAAAATGTATGCATGATTAAATTTTGTTGGTCATTTAACAAAGCGATGTGTAAACAAGCACGTTTTAAACACCGATAAGCAAGGGCCTACGCTGCAGGAGAGCTAATAACATATCAATCACAGGAATCTTTTTTATAATTTGACGTATAATATTTCATTTGCCATTGGCAACAGTTTCAAAGGTTAAAGACTCAACATACCTTTCACCATTGTACGGATTCTCAGTACTATATCCTGCATACCGAATCTCATCTTGTTTCTTTTCGGGGACTGCAGTATAAACCAAAAGTAATAGTTTTGCAAAAGCATAATATATATATTTTTTAATTAAACGTATACATGAAGACTTGAATTCAATATACGCAAGATTTAGTGAATATTGTACAGAACAACCTTACTAAATCGAAGAAGAGATATCACCTTACTAAATCGAAGAAGAGATATCACCCTACGTCAACATAGACCTACTCTGTTCTTAACGGAACTCTTATTAAAAACTTTCTTTTCTCCTGTGCAATCTTTTTAACTTGGTTCCTATTGCCATTTTCAGAAATAAACAAAATAAAATGCTTGTATGTTTTATCAAAATCATATCATTCGGGAATAATAATAACAAGAGTCCCATAGGGCCTGTGTCTCTCACATAGTCTGTTATTAGTACATACATGTTTAAACAAACCAGTTGTTAAACACAAGAAATATCCCTAAGCGTCGTAACTTTTAAGAATGGTGTATATCTTATAAGTTGACAACGAACGGATGATGGACGGATAACGGACGACGAACGCCCTGTCATCGCATACGCTCTCAGCGTTCCGTGTCATGTAAGATGTAAAAGCAAAAGAATGCTATAATTGGCATATATTTCATCAACCGAATGCATTCGATTAAATGCACATTTTCTTACCAAATTTATTGATTAGCCCAGTCATGATCTGAACGTTATCTACCAACGATGTTTTCACCTGGCCACTTAATGAAGTTAGTTCTTTGCCGACGTCATCCACGTAGTCTTGAACGCTTGTAACGCCAGCTTGAGTCCTTGTAGTGACGTCACTCATACGTGACCGGTACTGTTGTAGGCCATCAATTGATGCTTTGGCAGGTGGTCGGGCAATGCCACCCCACTCTCGTGAAAATCTTGTTAGTATATCTATAGCAGGGATGTCACGGTTTGTTCCCATCTTCTTCGGTATTTTTCTCTGCTTCTTCCAGATTTCGAAAAGAAAAAATGATATTGAATAATTGTCGCCTTGTGGCATCAATCATTGGTTTAATGTTTGTTTATAGGTGATTGTGAGGAGTGGTGCGTTTGTGTGTGTGTGTGTGTGGGGGTGTGTGTGGGTGGGTGGG